GGCAACCGGCAACCCCTTTGCCTAACCCCTCCAATCATCTTTCATCGGCAAAAACCACCCATCACCACCACTATGCCCACAAGTTTATCCCGTCATTCTGGGCCAATGTAACCACAAGAGTGGTGTCTGATTGGTTTGAGTTTGGCTTCAAAGGTTAAAAGTGTCAGGAAGTCCCAGATTCAAATCTAAGGAGAAACAAAAATCCCTTGTGGCCACAGAGGTTCAAATGCGGTGATTCTGGGCTACCTGCAAAGCAGGTGATTGTTTTGGGATTAGTCGGCTCAAATAGCGAGTTGAATATCCAGGTTAATAAAAAAACCATATGAATATTAAGAACAATTTCACATAAATTCATTCAAAAAGTTGGTTATACAAATCATTAAATCAAAACATTAAAACGATAAGTCAAACTCTAAAATCAGAAACCTACATCAAAGCAAAACCCTAACTGAAAATCTAGCCTCCAACCTATTGACATATGTTTGGTCCCTGTGGTTGTGATATTTATATACAACATAAATTACATGTTTGGTCCCTGTGGTTTTAATAAAAATTAGAGTAACATACATTTTTGGTCCTTGTGTTTTTAATCATCGAAAGTGGTCCATATGCTTCAATAACTACAATTAATATCTCTATTGTGCATCAAATTGTTCGCAAGAGCCAACTTGATACTCTTCTCCAGGGATTCCCAATAAGGGAATCCTAGGAGAACCATCGACTCCAACTACTGTCCATGTACAATCCATAGTAGATCTGTTCGTTCTTTATTCTCTAACACATGGTCAGAACTTAATATAGGTTCGAATCCTACTGAGAGGTCCACTAGAGATCAGAAATTGTTGAAGAAAAAAAATAATATATCTCTTTTCTCAGGCGATCAGAAAATGAAGAAATGGTTAATCTATTCAAGATAATTACGTATTTACAAAATACCATCTACATTCATCAGATTCGGGATGTGATATGGTTCCGAAGGATGAACCGAATATGGACCATTCCAACAAGATTAATCGTATTTCATGACCGAAACTGGGGAGAAAATAAAATCCAGTTTTTGATCTATTTAATCTTTTCCATAACCGGAACAGGGGTGATACACGTTACACTATGATTTTGAATCAGATTATGTATCAGGGTGCTGAAATAATAATATTGAAAATTGATAGGGCATCTTTGCAATGTGTGAAAAATATAGGGTATAAATTGAAAAAACAGCCCCCGGCGAGGATCGAACTCGCGACCTTTCGCTTACGAAGCGAACGCACTACCACTATGCTACGGAGGCATCAGATGCTCTTTGCTTTACATCTTAGATTATTTTATATATCAGAATTTTCGATAATAATAAATAAGTAATTGATAAATTCTATCAAAATAAATATATATTCTATTTTGATTTTTAGTTTAAGAATCTATATTTAAAAACCTGATTATAGTGTCTACAAGAAGACAAAAAAAAAAGGTCTACTAGAGTTGGGTTTACGTGAGATCAAATGTTTTTCGTGAGACCTGTAAGATCAATTTATGTTCATTGATCAACTTTATAAGTTAATGATCTAATAGTCTAAAGTTGCACGGTGACATTTTTGTGATTTTTGAGAAGTCTCGTGACAATTTTGTGATTATGAATGTTCAAATTGTAGATTTAACCTAAGAGATGAAAATTGGTCTTAGGGGTCTCATGAAAAATCATTGGTCTCACGTGATCTCAAGTCACGTTTACTATTTATAAAATTATTGTATGTTTTTTTGGTATTATTTATTTCGTTTATTTTCAACTAAAAATAAAAAGATTATATTTATAAAAAGAGCAAAAAACAAAGTAAAAACTAGAGTTGTTTATGGGCGGGACGACCCGTTAGACCTGACCCATCCGGCCCGTTAAAAAATGCGAGTTTGGACAATGATTATCGAGAAAATGGACAGACCCGCGTTTGTTCGTTAAAATTAACGGGCGGACATGAGCAATGTAAAAATAAATATGAACAAGTCCGCTCAACCCGTTTACGTTCTTTTTCGTTTAGTTTGTAATTTTTTCTACTATAACTACTGATTAAGTTATTTCTAATACTTTTTAGGTGGTGACTGTTTGACTATTGAAGAATTATGGAGGTTATTGATCAAAACTTGAGATATCTGAAATTGACAGTAGCATGATGGAGTCATAGAAATGTGAATATTAATGTTATACATAAAAAAAAATTAGGAATGCATTATTGATTTTATGGAAGTTTGAATTTTGTTTTTCATTTATTTCTCCACTTGTTGAGATCCATGTGTCATTTTAGTTGCTTAAAATTTTAATTTCAACGGGTTTTTCCTTTACTTTTTAGTTCCACATTTGTTAATTAATTGTTAGTGAGTAAGTTTATAGATTTATAAGAGTTACACTTTTTAGGCTCGTAGCCCGTGGGCAAGCTCGACTCGTTTATACGACGAGCAATGACAAGTTGTCAAGCCCGAAAAAAAAATCGGGTTTACAATATTAGGCCCGTTGGATAAAAAAAATAAGTTAAGCCCGACCCGAGCCCATTCCAGAGTCCAGACCCACAAATGTTCACCTTTATAAAAACCCACATATGTTACACACCATGTGAACCAATTTTGATCTTCTAACTAATTAATTATCCAATTGTCTTGTACAACATTCTAATGTAAAAAAACTACAATTAAGAACATTTTAACCCGTATGAAGACGACCCATCTCATCCGGATTCACGTTAGAAATAAAATAAAAATATTCCCAAAGCTATTGCAAAACAACGATTTCTTCATTCGGGTTCCGTATTCGTTGATGTTTCTAGCTTTGTATATACACACGAAGATCGATTACATATACCATGGTCGATTTCTTCATCAATTGAGACCTACAAGATTTCCAAAAAACAGTTACTTTTCTATTAAGTCCAGATCATCAGTGTTGAAATTCAAACACAAGGATAAATGGCTTAAGGATATATGAGTGGCGTCGTTTTCTTGTTCGTCTTGTGTTTTATCCATGTAGCGTTGGAGTTTTTGGTTGTTGAATTTCAAAATATTTATACGGTATTTTTGTTTGACTAATACAAGCTTTACGAACAAAAGGTTTTGACATGGTGAGGATGATGATAAAACGTTTGCGAGACGAACCCAAGACTTTTTTGATACGGTGGCATCATATAGAACGGTTGCACATTGTAGAATAAAACGGTTGCACCTTTCACGAACCTAAATTTTTTTACCTTACCATGGAGAAACAATACGGTGGCACGTGCCACCTAACCACCCCTCTAGGTCCGTCTATGATTTGCATACTATTTTTCTACATACATTTGGTTTTCGTACTTAAGATGATGATATCAATTTTCATTGGATTTTTTTTTTCTATCTTAAATCATCCAGTAATATACGTATTTTAAACCGAATGATATGTTGTTACTGAAGAAATGCTAGTTTATTTTTAATTAAAATAATTTTTATTAGTAATTTTTTTTTTAATGTAAATACTTTTTTGATACATTTGTTTCATTTTATAGATGTAAGTATTTTTTTTGGTTCACAAAATGTTTACATACTTAATCGTTCAAAATATAAAAGTCCATCGGCTTTTTTCAGACTTCTTTCATTATTTTACCACATTAACCAGTTCTTTCATTATTGCAGTTTAGTATCGTTATAAGCTAATCCAAACATTTTTTATAAAACTATGGTTTAATATCATATAAGTTAAACTTTTTAATATAAAAAAATTGTGGAATCCGGTCCCTTTTTGCAACAAAAATATCTGGAGGAAGCTGGCAAAAAGTAATTCGAATTTTAAACATTAAAACGTTCCCTATTTCTGCTATAAAGCTGTTGCTGCTCTCAACCCTTTCAAACGCAGATCTCTTCCCCAAATCACCAAGGTAAACCAACATCCTTAAACCCTAGATCTCTTCTTCTATGCAAGATTACGATCTATATCTATTCATTTTACATTTCGATTTCTTGTTCGATCTAATATTTTGTTCACTGTTCGTCTGACGTGATTGAGTAATGATTATTAGTCATCTGTATTGATTGTTTCTTCATTAGTGCATCATGCAATTAGATTACTCTGTTCTTAAGATTGTTTGATAACTGTGATTGAATTGAGATATAGGAGCAAGTTAGATGTCGTTTTCGATCTCAAAATGTTTAGTTTGTCTTTACAAGTTCTAGATCTTGACAGAATAGGTACAATGTTCATGTTTGTGTGGTATATATGCTTGGATTTGGAACAATGTTTGGTATTTGTGTGCTCGGCTTGCATCAACCACTTGTGATGGGCGAGTAACTAAAGCTCATCAGGCACTATTCTGTCACCAGGCAGCTATTCATTTAGATGTTTTTTTGTGTATCTTTTTTCTGATGGAACGGTATCTTACTTTATAAACGTAAAGGTGGGTGTGGTTTGAACCAAATTTATCATATTTTAAGTGTAATCTGGATGTTGGTGGTGCAGATTTGGTACTTTTTTTTTCTCGTTAGAAATTTTTATGTTGATTATCGTGCTTTAGATTGATGGAGTTCACACAATCACAACTTTTGATGTAAATCTAAGCTGTCGATTGTCTTTTCATTGCCATTAGTGGCACCCACTCCATGTGCATATGTACAACGGGAGCTAGTCATAGTATTGGTTTTACAGCATGTTGATAGTTACATTTGATTGCTTATGAAGGTACTATTTTTTGTTTATTCTGTCTTCTTTGATGTGGAACCAACCCATTCTGTTTTTTAGTTCCTTATTAGTGTTAGCCATGTAATTATGCATGAAGCATATTTAAACTCTTTAAATATAGTCATGACTTGCTTTCTTGCTACCATACTATGTTTTAGATATTTTGTCATGACTTGCTTCTTGTAGCCATACCTGTTTTTTTATGTAAATTGAAGCTATTCATTGTTCTTTCTTGATTTTAGTTGCTAACCATGCACATGTGAATCATGGTATCCTAATATCGGTGACTGCTGATACTAGGATGGCTACTCTTAACTTCACACACATCAATATCGACCTCTTTCTTTTTACATTTCCAATGGATGAATAGCCACAATGTGACCCAAAAAGGGTTCATTTAGCAACACCCTTAAAAGATTTATGACTGAGAAAGTTCGTAAGGCTCTTTGTCAGCTAATATATTCCCTGCGAATTCCTTATCCATTCACATTCTTATCTCTCCCTGACAGTGCAGTATTAGTTTATTGGTTGCTGGGAAGGTGAAAATATGAATCGAGGAGGGAGCAGTGGTGGGGGTCAGAGTTCTTTGGGTTACTTGTTTGGGAGTGGAGAGGCCCCGAAGCCGGCCCCAAAAGCTACACAAGCTGCTCCATGTGAAACCCCAGCAGCAAACAATGTGACAGCTGCAAAACCTGATCCCGTTTCTCCCCCAGTAGATATTGCTAAGCAGGTTCCTGCAGGCATAAATAGCAATCCTTCAAACAACTACTTCAGAGCTGATGGTCAGAATACTGGGAACTTCATTACGGTATGTTACTGTGTCTAACTGTAGCTTCATGTAATGCAGCTTCAATTAAGACCAAAGTAAAATCAGATAAAATACTTCTATCCATTCACAACTCTTTTTTTGATGGAAAACTATCATTCTGTGACACAGTGACACTTATATCAATTTACATATAATTCTGGTTCAGTTAAGACCAAAGTAAAATCAGTTGAAATGCTTCTATCGATCAATTTACCTACTGTACCCAGTTTTGTTTCGATTTGCACACTGAGGCTTTATATTAGTTGTTACTCGGGGTTTTCCGGTCAAAAAGCTATGACGTATCAATTTGCTTCAATAGCAACTGGCAATCTATGTAAAGGATTTGTAACAAGCAATGTTGCACAAACGTTTGTTAGCATGTGGTCCTCCTATATAGAGGCTGTTCGGATGTGTATTTTCAATTTATTAATCAGATAATAACTTGATTAATGTTGAGAAGAGTGGTAATTTTGCATGTACCCTCGAAAGTTTTCTTGCTGTAACTCCTTACATGCTTCTTCAAATCTGATCATTTTGAACCTAAAAATGAGAAGATCAAAAAATAGTTTTGCAGGTTTGCGACACTTCCAAACACCCATATACACCTGATTTTTATTAGATATAATTAATTTTAATCGCATTCTTTAAAACACAAAGATCTTTGCATGTTGAATTCCTTTATCACATTTTTTTTAATTACTTCTTCAATAACCAGAAAGATTATCTTGAATTTGTATGTGTGGTGAATTTTGGACTTTTAACCTTTAACAAAGAAAATAACATCTTATTCATTTTGGTCATTTCTGTTCAGTTTGATTTGCCCATTTACCATTCTCATTTCATAAGCCATATTTAGCCGGGGTCTACATGGAAACAGCCTCATTACTCCTTGGCATACATCCTCCCTTGCGTAGACCCCACTTTGCATGGGGTTTTCCGGTCCGTTTAGTTTGGTTATTTCATGAGGCCATATTTCATTACTCGCTCTGTTTATATGGTTTGAGAAGAAATTAACACGCGAATACAAATCTTTTTTGAGACTTACAAATATAAGATGACTTAACAGAAATAGCATATGATCCTAATCTTAAATTCTTTCAATGGTGCAGGAACGACCCTCGACAAAGGTCCATAATGCACCTGGTGGTGGATCTTCTCTCGGGTATCTCTTTGGCAGCGGTGGTGGTGGCAGCAACTGAATTTTTTTTTCTGGTATCACCTCTTAATCTGAGGTTTGAACTTGTAATCATAAAGATAAATGCATGTTTCTTCTGCAAACTCTGGAAATCTTCTTCATGATGACATGTAATATATTTGGTGACATTTTGTCCTGTTTTTCTTTGTATGAATTCAATCTTTCATAAAAGGATTTGGAATTCTTTTGTGTGTTTTGGTTTGTAGGATTTGAAATCAAATTGAATTTCATTTATACTTTTTTATAAAGCATTTGATAAAAACTCTTAAAAACCATTTTTTATGCATTAAGTATTGTTTATTGATGCATATTACTTAAAATTTAAGATTACAAGTAAATTGTATGTAAGTACAATTTATTAAAGTTCCATGTTTGAACTTGTGTAACTAACTATAGATAAATATAACCAAATAAAGAATAAACATCTCATTTTAAATATAAAGAATTCAAAATATAATTAGAATAATCTTTTAAGTTCTAACAAAATACTTAATTATTATCTTTATAAAAAAATTATATTATTAAACCAAAAATAAAGAAAATGAATCAAAGAAATTACATACAAAAAGAGAAATTTTAAATTGTTAGTTTTGGTACTATATCAATATATATATTTCAAATTTTTATGATATCTTTATATTTATATTTTATTCAAAAATAAAAACATTATCGTTTTTTTTTCTAAATATCACATAAAATCGTATCATAACATCATTTAAGATAAAAAAAAACATAACATTAAAATTGAGATGTATCTCGTTACATTGTACGAGTACTTTTCTAGTTTCTTTATAAATCAAATTTGGTTTATAAGATTTGGAATGAGATTTAATTTATTTATTTTTTGTAATTATTTGTTTGTTTTATAAATCAAAATCACAACCAAAACCAAGTCAAAATCTGAAGGGATCCTGCAAAGATGACAAGAAAAACAAAACCCCGAAACCAAAATTCATCAAAGAAGAATGCGATGATTAGCCTTTGGCTTTTTTGGAGGTTAAGAGTTTAAACTTCACCAAAGATGAAAAAGATATATGAATTTATTTGTTGTATTTGTCATATATAAATATTATCTATATTTATACTATCTTATAAAGCAAATTTAGCAAAAGTCTTAAAGTCTTAAAATACTAAATGACCAAGATACTCTTTATACACTTTTTCATTTTTTCACCCCTCTCTCCTCTCCTCACATGCACTCACCCCCTCACATATATTCACCCACTTACAACAATTTTTTTTTAAATTTACACTTTATACCTCTATAATTAGTTATTTACGTTCATTACTTTTAAATGTTTCATTTTAAACCTTTATCAAATTAATATACATAATCGTATATCAATTAAAACATGTTTAAAAAATACATTTTTATTTTAACAAGTTACTACATTATAATCATCTCTTTAATACCTTCGAAATGAGTCCAATATTGAATAGTTTTTGACTTAATTATATTATTATATATTATATATACTGTGAAAAAATATTTTTAATATTTACGATTTATACTTTTATAGTTATATATATATATATATATATACTATATATTTTAGGGTTAGACTGTCCAAATTGCACTATATAATATGTTCTGAATTAATATATTTTTGGGTTTTTTGAAATATATATATATATATATATATATATACATGTATTAATTCAACCTTAATCTGAGTTTCTGGACAAGAAAGAGGGTAAACAGTTGAAATTTCATTCTAAAACTCATTCTTTTTTTGTCTTTTCATGGCTTATGATATGTAAATTTGTAGTTTTCTTTATTGGTTTTGAGTGTTTATCTTAAAACTCAAGTTTCTTGGTTTTACTCTTGGTGTAAATCGAACACATTTGTGAAGTCCTTTAAATATATTGGCTTTTAAACTGTCATACAATTTTTTCATCGATAGTCTGTAATTGGAACTACAACTCTTATTTATTCAAATTGTATTAATATGTAAAGATCAAGTGTAACCTATATCATCGTTAAATTTTATCTTATAAAACCAGTGGAACTTCAAAATCGTTAAAATTCATTGCTTCCGTCGCATTGCACGAATATACAACTAGTATATAGTTAAAAAACAACAATGATAATGGAAATAATAATGGGAAGAAATGAGATTTGAATCAGAATAGTGGAGTGAATAAATCCCCTCAAATCTTTTCCTTTCCTTCAAATCCAAACAGAGACTTAGAGCTTGTTTGTTTTTTGAAAAAAACCACTTAATGCCTCTTAAGTCTGAACCGGTTAGACGTTTTTATTTTCAGACCGTTTGTTTTTTTATATAAATAAGAGCTGAAAAGCTCTTAATTTGCTTTGAAAAAAAAAGTGATAACATAATCACTTAAATCCTCTTAATCGTTCCCTCCAGACTCTCCCCTCCATCCTCACCTCCATATTTAGTCCTCCAAATCTATCTCGCAAGACATTCGATCTCCAAATCAATCACGACCCAGATCGATCCACATATTCTCGTAAAATCATGACYCAGATCGATCCAAATCTATCAGATCCAAAACTTGACTGATTCAGATTTCAGACGTAAAAACAAACAGTCTGACTGATTCAGATTTCAGACTTCAGTACCACCTCTTAAAATTCAGAAGTGAAATCAGACTTCAGACTTCAGAACCTCTTAAAAAACAAACGCCACCTTAGCTACTGTTTGATTTACATGATTGGATTAAATTTGAAAGGATTTGAAATTGAATTTCATTTTAATCCATATTTTGTTTGAACAGTTTAAATTCTGGATTTTGAAATCCCACAAAGTTGATTGGTATTTTATGGGATTTCATCGTATGCGTATGTAATAATGTTTTAAAATACGTTAAAAACACTTCTTTTATAATTAATCTTTTCAGAACAGTTGACAAGAAAATATTTCTTGCTAATTTTGTTATTTCCTCATGAAATTCCATCATAATTCATTTTTACGCGTTCAAATCTAAATCCGATCCTTGATGATAAGATACCCTATATATCACTTTTTATTTTGGTCATGATAATATATACTTACACTCGTATTTTGCATCACCACTATATGGGTAACAAGTTTTTGACAACGTTATCGGGAATTGACGTAGTTAAAGTTTTAGACGTTGTTAGTAACTTTGTAAACTTTCTTTTAAAAGGTTGGGTAAATAACGTGACACTGATATGACACAGATGAAATTTCATGTGTTTCTTATTTCTTTTTAAATCTAGATTCTTAAGTAAACATATTTTAAACTATAAACACTTAAATGCGTCTGTTAAGAATATGTATGCTAAAACATTATTTTCCTAAGGCAATATGCATTAAAATGCCGTTAAGTCTTAGTTTCTATATAAGCAGGGGCATGCTTATAAACCCAGAGCGAGGCCCCGTACACCCGTCCAGCTTATTATTACAAGTAACGTTTTTGGGTATGGAAAGTGCATCCACTAAATTTTTAGTGATGTTCCGTACTATTAGAAAATACAAGAAATTTCAGTCAAAAAATTAAAAGGAAAGTCTCTCGAAATCAACAAAAAAAACTCCGCAAAAGTCCCTTGGAAACAACATAAATGATTAAAAAACCCTCGAAATCAACCAAGAAACTCAAAAAATCTATCGAAATGGTGGAATTCGATTAAAAACACATCTGACAATTTTACATGTTTTTGATCCACCTTATGGGTACACTTGCTTGACAAAAATCATAGGTCCGCCACTATATAATGTAATCTAATCTATACTATATTATAAAGCATTTGACAAAAACTTTTAAAAACCACTTTTTATGCGTAAAGTACTGTTTATTAATACATATTACTTAAAACTCAATATTGCAAGTAGATTATGCGTAAGTACAACTTATTAAAGCTCCATATCTGAATTCGTGTAACTAATTGCAAATAAACATCTCATTTTAAATATAAAAAATCTAAAATATAATTAGGATAATAATTGAGTTCTAACAAAATACTTAATTATTATCTTTATAAAATGTTATATTATTAAACCAAAAATAAATTATTTCGTTATTAAACTTAAATTAAATTATAATAAAAAATAAATTATTTCGTTATTAAACTTAAATTAAATTATAATAAAAAAATTAAAGAAATTACATAAAAAATTAAAACTTTTAGATAGTTGATTTGATATTAATATTGATATATTTTTTTCAAATTTTTATGATATCTTCAAATTTATACTTTATTCAAAAATAAAATTATATTATAATATCGACAAAGACAAATAATAAAATAAAACATTAAAATTGAGACATGTTTTGTTGCATTGTACGAGTACTCTTCTAGTTATTTTTAAAAGGGAAAAAGGACAAAAATACTGGGTAAAAGACCAAACTATCTTTAACAGAAGTTTTTGACGGAGTTAATGATAGGGACTTAGGACACTACAAAATGTAAATCATAGGTACCCAAAACGTTACGAAATGTAAACCATAGGGACGTTTTACGTATTTATTTCAAAATAAGGAAATACAGTTTGATTTTAGATAAACCACAAGGACCGAACATGTAATTTACTCTAAGAACTATAATATCATTTGTCGTATTCATTTCTGGGCGGCGAAAATTGCAGCGCCAATATACGAATCTGCAAGGTAGAGTCGAAGGAGAAATTGCTGCAAAAGTTGTTTCTTCCCCTCAATCTTGTGTTTTTTGGATTGCAATTCCAGATGATGAACCCCAAATTGGCACGTAGCTTACGCAACTTGGTACCGTTCATACGCAGAGACGCTTCTCATCATAATCAACATCGATTCCACCATTTTCAATCACATTCGTTTACCCTTTCCAACCCTAGTTTTTCTTCTTCTTTTTTGGTATTTGGGTTTCGTCGTACTCTTTGTTTTCCTCTTGTATTTTCCTCAACTTTTGATTTTTCCTTTCCAAGTCTTCATCGGTACTCCACCACCACCACCACCACCACCAATGCCTCCTCCTGTGAAGATATCGAGGGTGAAAACCCTCAAGAATTAGCTCAATGTAATTATCTGTACTTGCAATATCTCTATTTTCTTTTTCATCCCAGTTCGTTATTTTGGTTTTCTTATCTATGTTTGCATGCCTTCCAAGTGTTTGATCAAAGTCCCGGTCACAGTTTTAGCTTATACTGTTAGTTTTTTCATCATGTGTAGACGTTCGACGTTGATTCTTTGCTGCATATATGTGTGTGTTTTAGAGTGTCTGTATTTAGGTATGCATCATCTTGTATATCTCGAACACGGGCTTTTATGGAGTCAACTGCGAGTGTTTTACTCCTCAGATTCATTTATGAATAATAAGACTGCCATCATATCTTCTTGTATATTAGAGCAACTACAAAATTTATGATTCACGAACGATTATGATTAAATCTTTATGCATCTTGATCCTATCTGACCAATGAATGGGCAATCTTGCAGCTGACACGGATGAAGTAGAGCCAATCGACTTATGGGAGGAAGAGGATGAAGCTGAGCCTAAGGTCTTTTATCTTATTTGAGAACTTATGTGATATCTCCACTGAGGAAAGTTCTTTCAAGAACCCAAAATTGATTAGGAACCCGGGAGCTGTGACAGCACACCATGTGTCCCTCTTCAGGATGATTAAGTATAGAAGTGCTATTCATCATGAACTTCCATATTCCTGATGAATATGTCATGTCCCGACGTGGGTGGTTTCGGGTTCCTAATCAATTTTAGGTTCCTAAAGGAACCTGCCCCTATCTCCACCCATTATGTATAGTTGATGACGTTTAATAAATTTATAGATTGGAGATGGTGGAGATGGAGGTGATGTTGTCCTGCAAAATTGTCCTTGGGGTGAGAAAGTTCTATCTATAGCTAGAGATGTCTTGCTGCAGTTTGGTGATGGCATAGAAATCTTTGCTTTTAAAACCTCCCCTCGTGGATACATTTATGTGCGACTCGATAAACTCTGTAACGAGTAAGGTTATCTATTCAATCTCATTTTCATCATATGGTTGCTTGGCATCCTGTTTGTTCATATGACTTTGAAATATTACAATCATCTTATCTTCATACTGAAATTGCACAAAGTCTCCTCTCCTTTACTTGTATAAACATTTGCTTTTTACTAATTTGTTCGTTTATTAATGTCACCATAGTGATATATTACGTTATCTTGGAATCCTAAATCGCGGTTATTAACTTGGGTTGCATTTGTCTAGTCATGATCAATCATGTCTAACCCATGTAATGAATCAATATGCTAGTTACAACAGATAGCAACAGCTTTGAAAATGTTTAGGATCGATCAGACTTACAGCAGTAAACACATGAAAAAAAACTGGAAATGGTATTTATATGGTTCAACAATTTATTTACATTCATTGCATTGGTAGGATATTTTTACATTTCATGAACTCTATGGTAATACTAATACCATGAAGGAAGAATCTCTATATAATCAGATAGTAGAAGGATAAGATAATAAAATTAAGCCAAACCAAACAAGCCTAGTATATCCCACCCAAAGGTGGAGTCTGGGGAGGGTGAAATATACGCAGAGCTGATTTTGATCTTTACCCCGAAGAGTAGGACGGGATAATAAAACTGTAATCCTTAAAATTGAAACAACCGCTCTACACTTTGGGATAAAGGTCACGTTTGCTTACATCTTATCCCTAGACCCTACCTCCGGGTGGGACATACGGGGTTTGTTCCGTATGATAATGAAGCAGAATTGGATCCAAATCAGGCTCTAGTCTATATCTCACAAAAAAGATTCTACGTGTTCTACGTGTTCTGTTTGTGCATTAGATATGGGTGCCCCAGCATGGAGGATATTCAAAGTTACAGCCAGGAATACAAGAGAAGACTAGATGAAGCAGGGGTGTCTGGAGACATCCCCAGCGACTTGGCTCTCGAGGTAATGATTTATGGTGCCTACCATAAATGAAGCCCTTGAATTATTCCCTATTTTACATGATATATCTTGCATCCAAACCATTTCCAAACAAATCCAGTATATCACGCTCAAAAGCAGGATCTGGGAGGGATAGGATGTACGCAGCCTTGACCTCTACCCCTAAAGGGTAGAGACATGTATAACTTGCATATATTGTCAAATTCTTCACATTGATGGACAAAGGTTGTGGTTTTTTTTTTTCTTGAAAGGTATCATCTCCTGGTGCAGATCGGCTACTAAGAATACCAAACGATTTAGAACGTTTCAAAGAGATGGCTATGCGAGTGAAGTACGTAGAACGTGATGATACTAGATCCGTGGAAAAGGAAGGAGTGTTCTTTCTGGAATCCATGGAAGCAGAATCTGGGAGCTGCATGTGGAGGTTGGCTGATGTGAAAGAAAACCGAGATCCTTCATCTAAAGGAAGACCATTTACCCGCAAACAAAAGGACTGGAGACTGGAACTGCCATTCGAAATGATCAAGCAGGTAACTCTGTACCTTGACTACGAATAGCACATAGTCTCGAGTCCTTGTTTTTTTGGATTTTTGCGAAATTATGTTCATCATGTTGTACGTTTCTATGAGGTTACTTGTGTTTTTATGTTTTCGATCAATGGAAATCCCCATAACGACTGTTGATATGTTGAAATGGTTTGTTTTCGGGCTGATGAACTTTTGGCAAGAAATCTTGTTGATAGCGATTATGATCTCCACGCCGATGATGGTCAAAAAGCCAACTAAAAGACCAAACAAAAGAAAATATGTGAACAGGATTCAGTAAAATAGCCCACCAACAAAAGAAACTATTCTTATTTGATTGAAAGTTACAACATATGATAACCTTTGTGGCTGTTTGGTTTGCGGAATTCAAAGGAATTTGATGGAAATGAAATGACAAATTTATTTGATAATATTCGGTTCACGGGTTGAATTGATAGAGTGATTTCATCATTTCTTGCATAAGTGAAAGAGTTGAATCTCACTTTGTGGCAACTTTTTCATTCCTATTCATACGAACCAAAAGGTTGATGAAATTCCATTCCAAGATGGATTTCAATTCCATTGAATTTCATTACGTAAACCAAGCATCCCCTCCGTTGATTAAATACTAGTTGTGGACCCGTGTAATGCAGCGAGAGCCGTGAATAATAACGATTTTGAAGTTTCACTGGTTTTATTAGAGAACATTTAACGATGATATAAGTTACACTTGGTCCTTACATATTAATACAATTTGAATAAATAAGAGTTACGGTTCCAATTACAGTTTATTGATGAAAAAAATTGTATGACAGTTTAAAATCCAACATATTTAAACGATTCCACAAATGTGTTCGATTTACACCAAGAGCAAAGAATCAAGAGATCGAGCAAGACCGAGAGTTTTAGAGTAATTGAATGAGAGATGAATGAAAGAACTTTTAATAACTCATGGTGAATATCAGTTTGAATCTCACCTTGGGGGATGGGGAGAAGACATAGATAGTGAAAACATGAGTGAAATGTGTCAAAAATATCTTAGGAACATGAAAAGAAAAGATAATAATGTGCATTGGTAACTTGTACTATATTTTATTTTAATTGTAGATTTATATTTTATTTTAATTGTAGATTAAAATATTTTAAGACTGAATGCATAAAGTAGTAGTACTTAATGCATTATAAGTTGTTTTTAAGACTTTTAAAACATTGTGTATAAATATATAGTACTTTGTACATTAAAAATTGTTTTTAAGACTTTTGATAAATCTGGTTTATAAGATAGTATTGATAATATAAAACGAAAGGAATTGAACAATCATGATACGGTGAAAATAAAATAACCGCTTATTTTTATTATGTTGTGTACTTAACGGGTATACATTATGCTTTCTTGGGTAAATAACAAAACCTTTTTTCACATGATTTTTACGAAAACAATCGCTCTAATTTTTAAAATACAAGATAAATTTGTATAAATCGAGTGGAATATATGTTTTAAGAAACAAGGCAAACTCATCAAATAGGCAAAACTACAAAATATGAGCCAAGATTTCACGAAAACAGTTGTCCTACCCTTTAAAGTAGATGACAAATTTACTTACGTTTTACCTTCAAACCCTACTTTCGAGTGACGTATACGTTCCAAGAACCAACGCAAACCCATAATACTACAAAACATTAGTACACGAGCCAATATTTCACCCTTTAAAGCAGACGACAAATCCGTATACATCCCATCCCTAAACCCTACTTTTCGACGGAGATATAGGTTTGAAGCAGCAAGACAAACTGATTAAATAAGACAAAATTGCACACATCCAATTTGAGGAAAACAGAAATGAGACATTGGTTAAGCAGCAATTGGCTGAGTGAGTTTGGGCATTGGCTCATCTTCTGAATCATATTCATCCATCTTATCACCTTCATCTTCTTCTTCTGAATCATTAATGACCACCTCTTCATCTTCATCTTCATCACCATCAAAATCATCACTTGGGGGCTATAAAGAAAGATTGATGTTATGATTCTATGGATATATACACGGTCTGAACTCGTGGGAGGCTGGGCTCTACCGGTAAACCAGGCCGATGACCGTTTGATTATATATAACTTGAACTTGTAAACGTAACGAAATTCAACTTACAGGGTAATATGTGCGGAATGCTTCTTCCGAGATGCTTCTGTAACCATTGGGATCAAACAAGATATCTTCATCATCCACGCCCGCTTTAGGAGGGTGCCCTAGTTTCCGCGATTGAGCCCATTGTTCTTTAACCCCACAGTTAATGGCGTACTCGATGATGTGCACCAAATACTCTTTATCGGTCATCAGGTGCGGCTGAGCCACCAACTTACTCAAAAGCCCTGAAAACCCATTGTTTCAAACAAGATATTAGTAAGAACCTAAATGGCATCCAGTTTCGACCTCTAAACCAAACCAAATCAAACAAACCCGGTATATCCCAGCCGGAGGTGGGGTCCGAGGGTAAGATGTAAGCAGCCGTGACCTCTACCCTGTACAGTTTCAACCTCTAAAACGTTGATTTGCAACAGTTTCATACATACCTGCAACAATGCCATCTCCGGCTGCAGACATGTCAGAAGTGAAAGCCGTGATGGGTATATCCTCGGTTCCAAGAACCATACGATTGTGCTCCTTGGTGTAGTAGTGAATCATAGAAGTCCCATTTGTGACGAAAAGAACTTTGAGATTGTCGTGTAGGATTGGAGCAACGACGTCTAGACCATAGTGAACGAACTTTGACGGATGGTTGTCTTTGGTATCAAATCTCTCAGAAGGCACAATCCCACATAAAAATTCAAGTTCTTGTTTAGTAACCTCGATCACATCCGCAAGTTCCCACGCCTCTTGAATAATCGACTGAGTTTCTTCCCGAGAATTCCATAGTGGCAACGGTAGGTTGAGATCGAAAAAGATCGCCCCTCCAAGCTGCTTCGAGATCTTGATCGCTTGCAAAGCACTTGCTCTCATTTTTTTCTCAATAAGAGAGAATGCATTGAAGTAAAACATCTTTGCCTGCACAATAAGGTGAAGGATCAACATTGTTATGTGAGCTTAGTTAGGCAAAAACGTATTTAAATCTGTCAAAAGGTTATGCATTTATGAAAAATATGTACGAACATTATTCTCCTGAATAAACCCAAGTGCAATTGGCCGAACCACCAGATTGAACCAAACTGGTTAGCTTGGTTCAGCATTGGACCAGATGGTTCAAAATCCTACTTCCTAGTGGGGGATATACCGAGTTCATTCAGTTTGTTTTTTACCTCTTTAAGCACGTCGATATTGATCTCAGACTTCGTAAGCATATCCTCTGCGCACGGGTTGATACACGTCATTCGTAACCCGCCCCTCTTGCTCATTTTCATCCGTGACATCGCAGTCATTCGTTTTGCATCAATTCGAACCGATCGAGTTTGCACTTTACTATCATTCAAGTGATACAACATAGCTTGTCCACAATCATCATTCCCAATCTTACTCATCAAAGCGGCATTATTTCCTAATCTAGCAAGACACACTGCAACGTTGCCTACACAGCTTCCGGGGGCTCGCACAAACTTCTCCGGTATCCATAAAGCTTCCTCCATTCTTTCGTTTGCTTCATGGTTTATAAGTCTATTGGCTCGCCTTCCCGATGGCACAAATGCAGGCTTAACCGATCCAAAGCAACAAACTAGAGGGGGCCAAAGGTATGTATTGCTAATATCCTCTCCACCAAAGGCATCAAATTCTAGCTCTTTTTCACTATCGGTATCGTCCTCACGCTCACTAAGCTCGGTTTCACTACCTTCATCTATCGTATCATCTATGGTTTTCTTACTACGCCGCCGCCTCGTAACCTTCTTTTCTGGTTCTTCATCTAAGCTACTTGAAGTAGAGGCAAGTGCAATTTCTGAAAGGAGAATTAATGGTCAAAAACAGAACATTTTGCTACATTCCATTGAAAGCCCCTGTAAGAATGAAGTTGTCTGTATGGATTAAGCTAAATTGTTGTTTGCTTGTTGTGCCGAGTAAACCGTCTAAATGACAAAAAATGACCATTTTACCCTTACTGTTTTCATTAAGTTTTCCATGAAGTGGTCAACCAACAATAACCAAGAATCCTTATAAGTGATCAATCAACACTGGGGGTGGATCAAAGGGGTAAAACCCTACTTTGTGTGCAGGTGTTAAGAGCATCACAATAGCTTGACAAAAGTGATGATGAGAATCAAGATCAAAAGGATAACATTGGATCATCTTTTTCCAATAGGCCCCTTTATATTTCCCTTTTAGATCATTTTACATTGTCATCTAGCTTAACTAACGTTCTTTTACCAAGCATGAACTATTATCAGCTAGCTTATTAGCCAACGACTAGCTTTTCAGCTGGCAGCCAGCTTATCAGCGAGTTTGCACTGACCTTTTTTTCGAGTTCTTCTTTGTGGTTTCTCAGGAACCTCGGTTGACTCGGAAGCCATTGATGTCTCTTCATCTGTGTTGCTAATACTACTCTCTAGTACCAAATTCTCCTCTGGAACAGCCTTTTTCTTTCTCCTTGATGGGGCTCGTTTACGGGTTGTCTTTGTTTCGGAGTCATCCTCTTCTCCATCAGATGTTTTCTCTGCAACTTTTTTCCTAGGAGTTGCTGTAACAACAAATCTACCACGCAATCGAACATCCGGTAGTTGTACAAGGTTTATTGAGGATGACAAAGACAAATTCCAGTGCCACCTACACGCGAAAAGAACTCAGAGTTGTAAGAACTAATATGAAGTTGTTAAATACCTTTAACTTAACACAAAAATTCTTCTGTTTTCAAATTTTAAGTTGAAACTTGTTCCATTTGACCTCAAAATCAAATCATGAAACAAGGGATAACTCCAGTTTCCAAGAACAATTTCAATGTCTGGATTAAATGCTCAAATGATAAATTTATGAGAACGAAATGCTTCAAATACAGATAACCAAGATGCTATCTTTCCCCTTCAAATCACTCAATTTCTCAATTCATATCTTCTTTTCAGAACCCATTTCTGTATTCTACAACTTACAAGCTACTCAACTTACATCATTCTAAATCTGGCTATGGTGGTGCATAGAATATGTATGTATGTGTGTGTGTGTGTGTGTATATATATATATATATATTTGTAGTTGAAGCTACGTTAAAGATGGGGAATTTGCTATGCCAAGAGAGAGAGAGAGAACCTGGGCAAAGAACAAAATTGAGTAAAAGAAGGCAAAGATGCCATTTTTAGACACCAAGAGCTTGAGGTTTCAAGAATCGAACCCCATCAACGCCACCATTCACAAAACCGAAACCCCTTCCTCCTCCTCTGGGTTTAAAGATGAGGGCTTTACTTTTACCTCTTTTCCAATCTCAATTTCAAGAAAACCAGATGAATTTACAACATTAACTGCGTATCGTACAATACACATAGGTTTATAGATTTCAGATCTCAAAACTGTACAAAACGAAATGCACAACGTACAATACTATCACTATTTTTATCTAATTACCAATTTGTCCACTGCCCATCAAGATATTGACAAAATAAGCCATAAAGAAAAGGGTTTTCAGTTTTCACTCCACAGAGTCACAGGGGTACGCAGATATATGGTCTATGAGCTCTTGAATCCCTCAATTTCGATTTTTTTGCATCAAAGATTATAAAGGTTCTTATTCTTCAGTTCTAGTTTCATTACCCATCTGAAGATTCTTTTGTTTTTCAATCTTTATGTAAATTCTTGATTCGCAGAAGCCCATCTCAATGCATAAGTTGAGGGCTTGGTGTTGATGAATGCTCTGAAATCTTTGTAGAGGTAAACCTCCAAATCAAAATCTATTGGTTTGTTAAGATAAAAGTAAAACAAAGTTCTTGAACTTCCACTTTTGTAGTCGAATAGTAAGGGTTTCTTAATGCTGGCAGATATCTGACCTTATAAGATATGTGCTAGAGGGCTTGTGATCCCTTTACTTAATAATGGTGATCATTGCAAAACTGAGGATGATGCTGGATAGTACCCATTTTGTTCTAGAAGGGGGTTTAGATCAAATCATGATGTCAAATGCTCAACTTTTGAGTGGTATAAATCTGTAAGTTCTTATAATAATTTGATAACTATGTTGAACTGATATTGAATACAAATAGGAAGTTGTTGGTAGTAAAGATTAAGCGATTTGAGTTAAGAAGTAGACAAAAGCGAAGTGTAGAAGTTCCACCTCTTATAATTTGTATCAGGTTTCATTTCTAGCCTACTATAGTCCTTTCTTGTCAGGAAAATGAGTCTGCTTTAAATCTAGAATGAATTTACAGACAGCTTTACACATGATTAAGTTCAAATTAACAAAATCAAGGGTCATTTGATCGACATCAAGTTGATCTTGATCTTAAGTTTTGAGATAATGCTCGTTTTCGGGTCAAAGAAAGTTTGAGCGTGGACTGTCACGGAAGTAATGTGAAAATGCGGGTTCATGTCTATAATGGAATCTTGTGGACAACTAAATTCTAACTCAAACCTCAAACCTCCCTGAAATAGATATTCCAATTTCCAGGTTTCACAAAACATCCCAAAACAGTAATTGTTGCAAGTTTCATGGGATAAAGAGGATATCTTTTCATTGGTTATTTATAATCATTTTGGGCCTCTGTTGGTTTTGCAGATTTCCCCTCCATTACTTAATTCAGAGGCTTGTTGTTGAAGGTTTAGGGTTTATAATGAGTATTTTCAAGCAGCTACTACCATCAAGATTGGCATACCGCACCTCTTATAGAGGTAGACTTCCTCATATATATTATATGAAGTTTTACTGAAGAAAGTTTGATGTAATTTGCTTTGTTTCCTAACTTCATATAGGACCATGTTGATTTCTATAAATGGAATATATTTCACAAATTATTGATATTTCTTTTATCTTCTTTACTGCAGCATCTTTTTCGTTCTTTCATTCCTCCTCAGATACTTCGATTCAAGTCCATTCTCAAGAACAAGAAGTAGTAATTGCTTTAGGTAGCAATGTGGGTGATAGGCTTAATAACTTCAACGAAGCCTTAACTCAAATGAAGAGATCTGGCATAGAAATAACTAGACATGCTTGTCTGTATGAAACAGAGCCTGCTTACGTGACTGATCAGCCTCTTTTTCTCAATTCTGCCATTAGAGCTGTCACAAAGCTTGGCCCTCATGAGCTGCTATCAGTCCTCAAGAAAATCGAAAAAGAAATGGGTAGAACCAAAGGCGTTAGGTATGGCCCACGACCCATCGACCTAGATATACTGTTCTATGGGAAGTATAGAATTAACTCAGAAATTCTCACTGTTCCTCATGAAAGAATCTGGGAAAGGCCGTTCGTAATGGCTCCCTTAGTTGACTTATTGGGGTCGGATGTGGATGCTGATACGGTTCTATGCTGGCATTCTTTCTCAAAGAAAGGACTTTTTGCATCTTGGCAAGAATTAGGTGGCGAATCTTTGATAGGAAAAGATGGGCTAAGAAGAGTGTTACCAGTTGACAATCGCTTATGGGATTGGTCCAAGAAAACTTCCGTCATGGGTATCTTGAATTTGACCCCTGATAGTTTTAGCGACGGAGGGAAGTTTGATTCTGTGGGGTCCGCTATATCTCAGGTTCGGAAAATGATATCCGAAGGAGCAGATATAATCGATCTTGGAGCTCAATCTACACGTCCAATGGCATCCAGGATCTCAGTCCAAGAAGAACTAGATAGACTAATTCCTGTTCTTGAAAAGACTCTAGAATTGCCTGAGATTGAAGGAAAACTACTATCTGTCGACACATTTTACTCGGAAGTTGCTTCAGAAGCGGTTAGCAAAGGAGCTCATATAGTCAATGATGTATCGGGTGGCCAGTTAGATTCTGAAATGCTTCGTGTTGTTGCTGGTCTCAACGTTCCATATATCGCTATGCACATGAGAGGGAACCCTTCCACCATGCAAAACAGCGAGAATCTGAAGTACGATGATGTTTGTAAAGAGGTTGGAGATGAGTTATACGAGTGCGTAAGACGTGCAGAGTTATGTGGCGTGCCGGCATGGAGGATGGTTCTTGATCCTGGGATTGGGTTTTCAAAGAAAACTGAAGATAATTTGGCGATTTTGATGGGATTAAAGAGGATTAGGAGTGAGATTGGGAGAAAGAGCTTAGGCGTGGCTTGTGCACCTGTGTTGATTGGACCTTCACGAAAGAGGTTCTTGGGTGAGGTTTGTGATCGGGGTTCGGCGGTCGAGAGAGATCCGGGGACCGTTGCTGCTGTTACGAGTGGGGTTTTGGGTGGTGCTAATATCGTTAGGGTTCATAATGTTAGAGATAATGTGGATGCCGTAAAGCTTTGTGATTCGATGTTGGATCAAGTTGGGAGATCTTGCACCAGATGAATGATCTTTGTTGTTGTATTTCTCAAATATTTATAACAATTTTACAAATTAGTTTGCTATTAGTTATAATGATTAACATATAAGCTAGTTAAAGACTTGAGAGGAATGTATTAGAAATCTCATTTTTTCGGAGTTCGAATCTAGGCCGGTTCACCTATGATAACTCCAAGCCCGAGACAATGCATAGATTGTTACGCCTTCCGTGTGGATCGGCACTTTCCCAACAAGGAATTTCGCCATCTTAAGAATTCATGATCGGGTGGGGATTAGTCGATGCTCGTAAGCCGACCTGAATACCACGATTATCTAAAAAAAACCCTAGCCAAAGTGACAAATGTTTCCTTTGTGAATAAGAAAGCACCTCAAGAGCCTAAAAGGTAACATTAACATGAGACTACTGCAATGTAGTAGGGGGATACAACACAGAGGAAACCAATAACAATACTAAGGCTAACTAACTAACTATCATTCTGCTTCACTGCTTCTGCTTCAGCCATAGCCATGGGGTCATCTTTCGTGTCGGCTTCATCCTTCTCGCCTTCACGTTCATCTGCCAGTTTTTTTCTATGTAATTCCTCTGCAGCCTGCATTGATGCTCGGTTTTCTGCTTGAATGCGCTGCATTTCTTCTTCTTGTTGCTGTCGTTCAAACCATGTGTCCGCATCCGCCCAAACTGAAATTTAGAAATAGTGACCAATATCAAGATGTGATGGTTAAACTCAAAACAATCCATTTGGTTCCAAGATGGATTGGTAAAATGCAATTGAAGACCGGCTAAATTTCAACAAATTTGACACATTTTTATAGGCAATTTAGGATCTTGCCTCCAGAATTGCATGAATCAAAACAAAGAAGGGTACACTAGTAATGCTGGCTTTAGAAAACCAAACTTGATACAAATTTTAGTATTCCCCACAAAAACACACACAGTGGCAACAATTTGTGGGTGTGTTCTCCAGGGTGGAATGATATGTTCTACTATGCAGAAAACACATGGTTTTGAGAAAGACAACTATGTGCCAAATATATAACTATTAATTAAAGTGAATATACCAACAGTTTCTGCTTTCATTAATAACCAAATAGCTCCCATGAACTATGTATTATAGCGTTTTTTAACCCTTCATGCATTTGCAAACTGACGAGAAAAGTAGAATAGGTTACAGCAAAGTCCATGGATAATAATGATCGGTTGGTGGGATCTAGAAAATATATATGTTTGTCTGACATTGTATAGAATTGTCTCGATTCGATTTTGACTTCCAGAAAGAAACATGTGGACCTTTTGTGATGGAAGGAGTATGATTGATTTTCCTTTTATATTAAAATGCCATCTATTAGCTCTTGGTTAGTGGTGATCACTGATGAGATCGTGGGGACCACGCTACATGCACTCGTCATCCTAGGAACCTAAACCCGCTCCTTCCAGGAAGTCCCCAAAAAGCTAATCCTATGTTTGTTCCCATGTTTCACCCTGGGGGTATATATAGTAGTCAGGTAAAAACTTCGCTTGTTTTTTACACAAACTAACTCCTCGTGCCATAACTAACACTATCAGTCCTGAGGTGGATCAAGAGGGCTGACCCAATTGCACCCGCTGGTGCATGTCTTGCAGCAGCGATCAGAATAGCACAGCATACCAAGAGACATAAAGATTCCAAGTATAGCATTATCACTATTGAATTGAAAAATATTGCAAGTTCCAACCATGCATCAAAACTGTTTTGGTGCATAAGCCAGTTGTTCAACTTAAAGAAGAAAAAAGAAGTATCAAGTATCTTAAATTTCCATGGATCCATAAATGACATATATGAAGTTCAAGAATCATCTGCAGAATTGTTGTTTGAATATTGAGATGAGGTAAGCGTTGGACTAGAGAATGCAAGCTATATTTACAAGATAGGGTCCAAAATTTGTCACAAATAATGACTAGAATAATGTGAATATATGATCTAAAGCAACCATAAGGCGTAACAGATATGAACCTAAGAAACAAATCTTATTCTGATCCAGGAGTCTACAGCCTCATTGGCAAATAATGCACAATGATACTAGAATCCATCAAATAGCATTACGATATTTACCATGTCTTCTTTTGTCCATAGTACGATTACATAAACTACGCACTCATTTATCCATAAAATTGTGAGAGTTGAATAATCACGTTATTAAACCTCTTATTTTCCTCGTAGATAGTCCATATTTTTCACAACTTACTGCTTCATAGATAAATAAATAAGCCATGCAAAGTACAAAATATTGATTATATACGTCCACATACAAATCCTTCTTTTTTTAATTGAATTACCCTAATCATCTATTTGAAGGATTGAAATTAAACAAACATAACTGGCAGCTCCAAATGCACACTCATTGTTTCCATGTTTAAATACTACTAGCTGCAGGAAGCAAGCAGCATGAAAGTTACTTTTTTATGATTCAGATTCATGGGGAACTGTTAGTTGATTCCAATGGCAATATTGTTGTGATATAGGAGTTATCCTCAAATAATAATTACATAGAAACAGAGCACAGGCGTGAAGCATTACAATTTTAACTTGTTGATGTGGTGTGAGATATATAAAAAATTGGAGTATGTCATGTCAAAAACAAATACAACTTGTTAAATTGCAAAAGCTCCATGGGAAAGCTCTAGTATTAATGTATATAAGTACCTAACTCTGTAAATCAGTTAAAAATGTTAATGAAACCATAACCAGATAACCTATCAAAAAGTCAGCTTTCTTATCTTAAGTTGTAATATAGGACTTCATTATGTCATAATTTGTGGATATAACATGCATTTAGTATCTTTTTTTCAATATGTGTTACAATGCAATATCCTATTCTAGGAGGAAGATCCTAGATGGATGAAGAGCTAACTACTAAATGCACGGTAATCACACACCCATCAAGTTCATCTCAGCACTATTTAATAGGATTAGTGGTGACAATGCACACCAAATGAGCAATTGCAAAAAATTCTAGAACACCTGGCCTTAATCCCAACCAAGCTAGAGCAAAAGAGAAACACAAAATCTATGTTATAGAGTATAGAGGTATAATCAATAATCAATATCATTGATCACTCAGCAAACCAAATAGAGTGCTTACCATTAGACATGGCTTTGAACATTTGGGTACTAAACAAAATCATTAGTAATCTTGCTAGAAGCTAAAACAAGGTCTCAAGAAGACAGCTTACAGATTCAAGTCTCTGCATCAATTAATCAGTCATTCAACTATATAGAAGTATGGAACTAACACAAGGGACGGATAAGGAAACCCAATGGCCAATATAGTGTTTTTTCTCAAGTAAATTTGCAATATGTCCCTATGCAATTTTAGCCCCAAACTGAGAATAACATCTAAACCTAGACGTAATCTGCTAAGATCATCGTAGAATCTCAAATCCACATATAGGAAAGAACAGACAAAGTGTAGAGGCAAGGTTTAAAGGGGAGAAACGAATACATACTAGGTTGAGCAGCCCAGCCTTGTTCACCACCCTTAATTTTTTCCGGTAGGGCATAATTGACGGTGAGCACACGACCATAAAGCTCGGCTCCGTCCATGTTATCCATCGCGGCGGCGGCATCCTCTCTTTCGAGAAAAGTCACAAACCCAAACGATCGGTGCTTCTGCGTCGCCTGATCCAACGGCGTCTTCACATCTTTAATGTCTCCGAACGGTATAAACGCTGAATGCAATATGGTTTCATTGGCCTCCTCCGCCAATCCACCTAAATTAACCATCAACGAATTCAATCAAACATATCCCTTGTACACATGTACTTGTTGGTGAAATTGAAATTTGGGAAAGGGTTTCTTACCGACGTAGAGAGTGTTCTTCTGCACCTGTTGATTCATTCTGTCGATAGAACACAGTAACGGCGGTGACTGAAAGGTTTTACGTTGTGTTCTCGAGACCTTACGAAGAGGAAGGAAAGCAGGTGTCGATATATTTTTAAGAACAGCAATAAGTTTCCTAATTAAAACATCTTTCAAATATCAAATCTATATGTTATATTATAAATTATTTAATAAAAACTTTTAAAAATCATTTTTTATATATAAAATATTATTTATTAATATATATTATTTAAAATTTAAAATTACAACTAAATAATGTATAAATACAACTTATTAACGTTTCATTTTTGAATTTATATAACTAACTTTAGATAAATATAATCAAATACAAAATAAACATTCATTTTAAATAAACATTCTAACATAATATTTAATTATTATTTTTATAAAAAATTATATTATTAAACCAAAAATAAAAAAAATTAAATAATTAGTTTGTTATTAAAATCAATAATATATTTTTTAATTTTTTTATCATATATTTATATTTATATTTTATTCAAAAATAAAAAATATTATTTTTTTAATAATTTGTTTTCTTTTATTTTTTTAATTTGTTTTTTAATTTTTATAAAAGAATAATACCCTGTCTCCCCTTAACTTAACTGGTGTGACACCCCACCCCCTTTCATTTACCAATTTCTTATGGGTTTTATTTTGCAGAAAATATTTTTTCGGTTTCAGATTTGGCTTCTTTCTCGGTTTGATTTGTCGCGTTTGATATTGTGTTTTTAATTACTTTTTCCTAAAGGCTAATCAAGAACAAGAATAAATTTGGTTTTTGATTTATTTTTAGGGCTTAATAGAGCAGATTTTTGTTTCTTGATTTGTTGGGTTTGCTTTTGATATTTACATCATAAATCGGTCGTAGAAGATGGTTGGATAAAGATGGAGTCATCGGGAACATAAACATGAGGGTCGAGGGATGTCATTAAAAATCCAAAAGGAAAAAAAAAGTAGAGTAAGGGGGCGTTTGGTTCGTTAGAATGATCCGTCGGAATCTGATGGAATTGGAATGGTCAATTCCGTTGACCAAGTTCTATTCCAATGTCTGGTTATCCATGGAACGGAATTGAATTCCAAACATTCTCTCATATAAGGATTTCACCATTCTTTCATAAAAGAGATGAAATTGAAATCCATTCCATCCAAATTTTTATAAATGACAAAAATACCCCATGATAACTAGTTTCTCTCATCTTAATAACCCCTACTTGACTTTTGCTTCCATTCTCTCGACTGCTTCCAATCGATCGAAGGCACGATTTTTGCTTCTGGTTTCTACTTACTTCGTTTTTTGCATATGATTTTTGTTCCGATTTTAGGGGCTGTTTACCCAAATGCTTACCTGGTAAGTGCTTATCTATAGGAGTCAACACTATAATTTACCCTGATGCATAAGATTTTAGTACATCAAAATGTATCGAATTACCGGGTAAGCGCTTACCTGGGTAAGAGTCGTCAACTTCACTTACCGGGTAAGACTCTACATCTTTCTCATCGCTCTTACCCAGTAAAATTATTGGCCCTTGTCATGTTCATCCGATGGGAAAATTTATCCGGTAAGCACTTATCAAGCAAGCGTTTAGTAACGGCCCCTTAGTTCGTTTTTTGCTTATCAAAGATAGGTACGATTTACTCTTTCTGATTTCTATTTACTTCGATTTCTGCTTACTGTTTTTGATTTAACAACTTCATAATAAGATTGTTGTTCTGATTTGTACTTCAATTTCTACATATTGTTTCTGATTTCTGTTCCGACTTGTTCCTGACCCATATCCAGTCTCGGTGAGCATTCTCCCATTATATACAAAACACATTATATTGTTTAAAAGTAAGCCATTTTATTTGAAATCTTACACTGACAATGACAATATTTTGCTTGCGTCACTTATCATAAGTCAAAATGTACGCTAAAAATTATAACTTAAACCTTATATACCTAATTATTTGTTGAATCGTAGAAAACCCTAAAATGGTATTTCTCAAAGTTCTTGCAATATCTAATATAACATATTATATGCATCGTTGATACATTTTTTACAATAGACATTTCATACAACTAGTGGGATCCCACTTGACGAAAAGGTCAAAGAAGCAAACGGCAAGCAACCCCTGAGAATGCATTGTCAACACGGAATCAAAAAATGGCAACAACGGCTTTGATACGTCTGTATCATTGTATCCTCAACACGTTATATATATTGTTTATGAGTACACGAATGGAATTGAACAGTCTCAAAAAGAAAAGGCCCATCACTTGAAAATTGTTCATAACCTATAAAACAATATTCTCACATTTTTGTTCCCACTGTTTTAGCCAAATAGATACTGAGGTGGATATCCTTGCAAAATAAGTAGGAACTGTAATGCATGAAGTTCGATTCTAGGGACCATTCTTATCTCGGGAACATGCCATTTTACCTCCCCATGATGATCATGGGATTATATCAATAGGAACACCCCAAAAGGATGATGTCATACCTTTTGTAGAATATTCCTAAATTATTCATCTCATTCAAATATAAATAATAATAATATAAATGGACTGATTTGAAACTGTAAAGTAGTGTAAGGGGTTGTTCGGTGACAACTTAATGGTTAGTATGACATGTATGGCTTATTCATTAAGCCGTACATGTATGTTTGAAAGTGACTTAATGTGTTAGAAAAGGGCTTATTCACTCAACCCATAGAAGGCTCTCACATGCATTCAGCCAAAAAATTTACATTCTTGCTCTTATGTGAAACACACGCAAATCAACACAAAAAGACACAAATCACGCTCTCTCTCTCTCATGGGTCATTTATTTTCTCACAAACACGTTATCCTCTTTCTCTCCCTAAATCCTTCAAACACGTTCCTAGTTCGTCGGTGATCGATTTCATTCTCTCCCGTCATTCTCGTTCGCTAGTGGTCCCATTCTCTCCCATCACCCTATCTTTCTCCTACGACCTCATTCTCTCTTGTCACTCTCCGGTTATTCCTGCTCGCTTTTTCATCTCTTGATCTCTCCAATCTATATCGTGTCTTTTCCATCTCTCAGACCAGATCTCTTGATTTGGACCTGACATGTGCTTTTTCTGATTGCTTCTTGTTTGTTTGTTTCTATTACGATTCAAACAAGTTAACCAACAATGTGGATTGTATTTGTTTTTTTTTTTGCTTTGTTTCTCTCGATTTGAGCTTCCGTAACAAATTTTCTATTTGGGTACAAATCTTGTATATGGTTTTGGTTACAAACTACTGAGAAATGTGTCTTGTAATTCACTACAAACCCAAGGAGTATCAGTGACACACAAATCCGTTAATGCTTGGATCAATCCTTGGGCCAAAAGGTCGTGGGTGATGCTATCAGCGATGGATCAACAACGGACACCTATTAGCGACGGATAGACCACAAACGACCCTGTGTGTCATTAATCTCTTTCTAATTAACGATAAATTAGTAAGGGATTGACCACAAAGGCCCATATGTTTAATTAGAAAGGGATTAACGACACATGGGGTTTGTGGTTAATTTATCCCTAATTAGCGAAAGATTCAGTGCATCACTAATACTCAGTTTTCTAGTAATGATTGAGATCAATTAAAAAACAAAAATAAGGAGCAAAATTGTAATTTATATCAGTCAGACAGTTTATTCAACTCAACAAACAAATACCAATTTAGTATAATCCATATAGATAATTTAATTCATACAAGACTTAATAAAAAAATAATCTTTTAAATAATTAAGTCTGAAATCAGAATATTAACGTATTGGACAACTTATAAAAACAGTGGTGGTTGAATGATGTATTTTATTAAAAGTAATATATATTATGTGTGATATTTAACGAATTGAAATATAAATCGAAAAAATCATTAGCATATTAATAAAAATAAACAACACTTTTTTTTGACGTAAATATCTTGAGCTTAATTTTATTACACTAGTACCCCTGATATTTTGTTATCATAAACACAAAATATCCTTAACTTCATTTTATTACACTTGTACCCCTGATACTTTCTTATAATAAGCACAAAATATCCTGAACTTTATTTTATTACACTTGAGCCCAAAATAGCTTCTTATTCTTAATGTAAAAGTGCAAAAAACAAACATCGCCGTTGCCGGGGATCGAACCCGGGTCACCCGCGTGACAGGCGGGAATACTTACCACTATACTACAACGACTTAATTGATAATCGATACACCGATAATATATTTTAATTGTCGTAATTTATATTATTTTTATTAAGAAAACTGTATTTATATTATATTATAAATCATTTATTTATTTTTATTATAAACTCTTAAATTGCTAAAATACAACTTATAAAATATTAAGTATAAATTATTTAATAGATAGCATATTTTTTTACCATTTTTTAAATGTTAGGAATAGAGATTTGACGATTTTCTGCTATCAAAAAACTAATAAACAACCGAATATATATCTGGGATTTTTAAACACCTTATATCTCTGTAACTTATGGATTTTCTAAAAACAAAAAAATCATTAAAATTAAATTTAAAACAATTCAATGTATGTTAAAGATTTTTGTTAGTTACAAAAGATTGAAAACAACATGTGTTAGTTTGTCCTTAATTTCCGGCTCAATGGATATGGTCTGAAAAATAGTTAGAGTAAACTACAATTTTCGTCTCGGAGGTTAAGTGAAATTTTTGAAAGTGGAATCTAAACTTCAATAAGTCGACTTTTCATCTTTCGTGTATGTATTTTTCTTTGAATTGGGACATAACTACTAACTCCGTCTATTTTCTTCGTTAGGTTAAATCGTCCAACTATGTTTTCCCTCTCGTTTGAACCAAATGTTTCACATTAAGCATCCTTCATCACCGTTGATCATATTACAATGCTTGTATCAGTTTGGAACCCTCATTCAATCAAAAAACCCTCATCCTCGTTCACTCTCACCAGCAAGAAACAATGGTAGAACCACCGTGAGTTTTGAGAATAAGGTTGGAATCCAACTGATGTCTATAGTAAGCATTCGTCTTTATTTTTACCATGTTTGAATGAATACGCAAGTCTGGACTTCATCTATTGACTTATTTTTCTTTTTTACTTTGTTGATAAAACTTTACTCTACATTGATA